GAGAGAGAGAGAGAGAGAGAGAGAGAAATTAATTATATTTTGTTGTATAAATAGGGTGATAGTGGCGGTGGAGTAATACAGTGGCAAAATGGTAGGGCTGTAGTGATAGGGATCGTTCAATCGAGTCAAGATTTCTGCGATGTAAACGATTATAGCTATTACGTGCGAATATCAGCTAAGATTAATTGGATTATTGAACAAATTAGTGGCAATTGATTAACATTAACCATAATGGTGTTTGTAAACATAATGCTTTTGATTAACATATGATTATAGTTCTTTATTGACCTTGACAACAAACTATATTAAAGTACCCGTAAATTGTTTATAATTAAACAAATTTCTCATTACTTACTATATTGAAAATAAATACACGGTAAGTAAATAAGATAATTTTACTTATTTTATTATCATATATTTAATAAACTAAAATTCCATTTACTAATTATGTTTAGTATTTTATCCAAAATTTTATATAATTATTTAATCTTTGAGTTTATACGAACATTTGTGAGTTAATAGGAAATAACGGACATATTTCACTGTAATCTAAATAAATATAAGTTTATTTATTAAACCAAAGTAACTATAAATTAACACAAACTATATAAAATGTGGTCATCGTTACGGTGCCTAACGGTCCACATCTGATACCAATTTTGCGATTAGCGGCCAATCGTTCAAAATATGTCATTAATTTGAGTTTAAATGAGAGCCGAAACGGCCAGCCATTGATCCGCCACTGAATACGTGCCAAACGTTTGGCCGATAAATGAGTTTTCAATGATATGTAAGCCGTGAAGAAGTGGACAACAAATATGATAAAACTGGTGGCAAATACACCGATGAATACTATAATAAAGACAAACACTGGAAGCGATTCAAAAATCAATTGGTGACAAAAAATGATATTCATTGGTATTAAAATCAGATAACTATAAAACAATATATCACTCCAAATGTTATTTAAATTAAGGATTTCTTCGCAAAACACATTATGGTTAACAATAAAATCACAAATATTTTTATATAAATCAATTTTTCTAACCATAAATACATTTTGAGATTTAAAAATAATGTTTAATTTATGGTTAATTGTGTTTATTGCTTGCAATGAGGCATAAATTTTAACAAGTATTGGTATAAGTAATAAGTATAGGTAAAAATAAATACAGGTATTGCCGTTATTACTGAAACACAAAACTCCCAAAACGTATAATTTTCAAGCAATAAAGCCATATAAAACATTGAGACAGTCCAACCTAGGTTAGTATTATTATATAACATTTGGTTATAAAATATTTATATAATTTATAATATAATGCATAACTTACATGTTAATAAACTTAATATTACAAATATTTGTTGAACGTATTTTAATTTAGTTAATATGTTGGCTTTATTTATGCTCTCATTTAATATGGTATAGGATTTCGGTATTAGTCGGTATGTTATGAGTCCAATGCCATCAAACCACAATGGTACATGTTCACGTACATTTACCTGTACACATTTATACACAATTGCACATTGTAGATTAGCTAATATTAATATAACCTGGTTGAAATGGGTTATTCCACCGGCAAATATTGATATATCAAACACTAGTTTCTGTGTCTCGTAATCGCAATTCATTGAAACAATTAATTTCAAGCAATTAATTAAATATGAATAATACATCATTTTACCAGTAATTGTGGATTTTTTATTTAATAAATATCTACTATCAAGTTGTTTCACAAGTATTTCTATTAGGTTCATTTTAAAAATATTGTTTAACTTCATTAACAATTTTATTTTGAGATTAATTTAAATCTAGCATAAACTTATATAAATAAGTACTAAATTATTGATTTTTATATTTGTAAAAAACATCGAGTGTAATTATAAATGAAATATTGTTTTTAGATATCATTTTAAATATTTCCTGAATTTAAAATAAATAGAATTTTTAATAAATGTAAATGTATTATGACATGCAACAATAAAATATATTTTAAATGCATACAAAATATGTATCCTAAGTATTTATATATAGTACAAAAATTTAATTAACTCAATATCGATTGCGATATATTTAAATCACGTACATGATGTAACTAGGTCATGAAAATTTTGGGACATATGCCGAGTCCTATCCCAAGTAAAGGGCATTGAGTGAAGGCGGGTATGCTATTCGGCAAAAGAGGTGTCAAAGTCTATGAAAGTAAAGTTTTATAAAAATCAATTATTATTTAGATTAATTAAATTAGTTAACAAATGTATAGCCATTTAGTTATTTAACATTTTAAGGACTATTCCTTATTTCACAATAATATTAACTATAATATTATTTAAAATACCGACATTAATTCACTAAATTTAACTTTAATTTTAACATAATATAATTATTAGATTATAATCACTATCAATAACTTAAATTCTCAAAATAATATTTTTGTAATACTTTTCAATATATTATAGTTTTGTTGTATTGTACTTAATACAATAGTATTTAATACGATTCCTAATACCTGTATATAAGCTATTGTTTTACACTTAATTTGATATCTATTATATGTACTTTTATACCATTAGTTTTAAGAGTTGTAAATATACTGTACATATAACGTAGTTTTATATGTTACTTTAAATCAACACATTATATAACAAACACTTCAGTTTCTGATACAAAATAATTTAATAAATAATAATTAAAGCATAATGTTATACTTCATTCAATTAATGGGTAAATATCACAATAAATTAATGATTTAATATTTAAAAGTAAATAAACAAATTATTTGTGGCGTATATTCAATAAATAAAATAGTAGTAGTGTTTGGCATATATTGGATGACAAGTAATGCATTTCACGCTAAAATGGCTAATTATCCCAACATTACTACCGATGAGTGCGGGATATCCAGAGATTCACTACTGATGGACAACAAGTGTTTTACATACCATACAATGGATAATACAGTGAGCCGTATATTCAATGGTAGGCGGGCCACAGTTGGAGAGTTACCCTGGCACGTTTTTATAAACAAATCTACTTCAAGATATTAGTTAGTAAAATTATAATATTATTAATACTTAATATATTAGTATTATTTACAATTTAAACCAGAATATTATAATATTTTATATGCTATTTAAATACCATGCTATAATTCAGTGAGCGATGCGGTGGCTCTATATTGAACGAAAGGTGGATATTAACCGCCGCACACTGTTTGATGTGGGTTATTTATATATTGTTTAGAAATTATTATTTTACAAAAACATAACAATTAAAATTAATTCAGATGCAGTCACAACTTAAAATGTACCATAACCATTTACCCGGCCGTTCTAAACTTAACAAATCCCGGCCAAGGTTATCAACCTAAGAGAGTTATATTGCACCCGGGTTTTGAGGTAAATCAAACCAATTCCGACGATATGGCACTCATTGAACTGAACACTGCGCTGGACTTCACGGCCCCGAAGGGCTCACACTATCGGCCGGTAAACAGCGTTTGTCTCCCGAAAGCAGACATTTATAACACCCGAAAAGAGTACGTTTGGTCGCCGGTTTCGGTGTAACATGGTACAATCGGTACAATGGTACTAGGCATTTGGCTGATTGGCTTCAAATGGGATGGATTAGGATTTGGGAGAAAATGGCTAGACCTTTCGATGATTATGGTAAAATGATTATTGCACGACAAGTTGCTAATAGCGTGTCGGCCTGTATTGTAAGTAAACTGAGTGAGTGTGTGAATGAGAGGGAGAGAGCGAGAGAGAGAGAGC